ACCTTTAATACATATATTTTTAACTATTAAATCATATTTGTATATAAAAAAAATTAATATTAATTTTATTATAAATGTCACTTACATTAATTTAAACAATGAAGTTGGAGGTTAAAACAAGTGGAGTAGGTATACCTGCAGCCAAGGTAAAAGACAGTGGACGCGGTTTCTTTCATTTGGTAAAGCAGCAGCTAATAAGAACATCAGCCGATCTTCATCTCTATCTGAACTCTGTCTTAGTGCTGCTCCTCTCACTCTGCCTTATAATCGTTGACGTCGCCACTCCTCGATTCTCACTTTGCTGCTTTAATTTGTCACCTTCAACCTCTTCCTTGCGTCGATCGCTTTTCTTCATTCAAAACTCTGGTACATAGCTTCTCATTCCCTTCCTTCCTTTATTTTTTTTTTTTTCGAATTTCCATGTTAAGTCCATCATCTGTTTCTTTTGTGGATAGATTTTTCTTAGGATATTAACCAGTGAATGGTGATGATTCTTTGACATTTAATTTTCTTTAGATCTTGACTTATCTCTCCACTTTATACGGTTTAATCAAGTTTAATTATCTTTTGTTGTTTTACCTTGTTTTTATACATGTTTCTTGTTTTTAATCTAAACTAATTATTAGTTGATAAAAAAAAATCTATAACTTTAATTATACTTTATAGATACGTTTCGTTTGAGTTGGAAGAGTGAGGAAAAAATTGCTCTATTTAGTTATAGAAAGAATTAAAGGAGAGAAAGTTTTTTACTTTAATTTTTTTTAATAAATGAAAGGAGGAAATGAAGGAAGGAGAGGGAGAAAAATAAAATGATATAACATCGTACCTCCGATTGATCAAGGGTAGGAGGTTGTATCTTTGCCAGTTCTAGCCGAATAATTCTAGCCCTCCATTTGAGAACATCATTCCATTTCCCTCCCTTTTGCTTCCCCCAAACCAAAACTACCATGGATTGTAAGTTCATTTTTCAATTTTAAAATGAGCAATTAATTAATACTTCAATAATGCAATTGTAAAAATTTGAACACTAAGACTCCGTTTAATTAGTATGATTATGATTGTTGGTTTTGATTTTTATAAATTTTGTAACTTAAAAAAAAGAACTCAATTATTTTTATGTGTTTTTGTAATATATTATTATATTTATTAGAGAAATAAGAACAAAAATAATTTTATACTATTAATCAAATTTATATTTTTTTGTTATTAGTGTTAAAACTTGTTTTAAATGATTTTTAGTTTTGATTTTTAGTAGTTGCTAAATTTATAAAAACCCAAAACCAAAAAATAAAAAACCACAATCATACTAAATGGAATCTAAATCTCTTAAAAAGTTGGGGTAAACTCACTCCACTTATCTACATAGTCATTTTTATATTAGAATTTAATGTATTTTTAAGACATTAAAATTTACTATATATCTTAAAATAACTGTTGTGACTTTATAGCATGATTAAAGTTAAAGAATAATTATAAAATTAAAGTATGAAAAAATACGACAATGCTAGTATTTTTCAAGCTTAAATTTTGATAATATAATAATTAATTTGAGATAAATTTTAAATAAAAAAATAATTATTTTGGTAGAGGTAGTACTCTAAAAGAAATTATTAAACACTTTAAGAATCATAATGCTAAATCAATTTTGATAATTGAAAATTGATGATTTTGTGGATACAAAGCCGGCAAATTGAATGATTGATTAATTCAAAGCGGAGAATTAATCGATCCATGATAGATGGATGAAGATACTCTCCACCGGCACCGCCACCACAGAATGAATAATTGTAAAGTGGATGCCCAGAACACATTTATCTGTAAATAAAAACA